AGAAAAATCAGTTATGGCCTACTTGGGAGTTTTTATTTCCTAGGGTTTGACTGATTTCGGGTGACACTATATACGAGGGGTTGAAAAAATTAGTGATTGCTAGTTTTTTTAGGTACCAATTTTTATGGTTTAAAAATCACCCAGAACCCGTGTAGTGTAATTTTGGCCGGTTCTCTCAACCCACCAAATTGGCGGGTTTTGACAATTTCTCATATTCACTTATAATTTTACCCTTCTTAAAATATTTTTTCAATCAACATATTTTCTTCAAAAGTAACTTGTAAATAAAAATACATTAACTAAAAAATTATTTATAAGCAAAAAAATTACATTATAATTAAAAAATATTTATAAGTAAAATATTATGATTTAAAAAATTACTTATAAGTAAAAAATTGTGTATAAAATAAAAATACTACTAATAAAATAGAAATTTCTTATAAAATATAAAAAGTTACTTATAAGTAAAAAATACAAACTTAAAATTTCAAGTAAATATTTAACTTTATTTAATTTTTAAGTAAAATATTAACTTATAGGTAAATAAATTATCTATAAGTAAAATATCAATTATGAGTAAAAAAATTCCTACAAGAAACTATAAATTGAAAATTTCATTAGAGACATATATATGTAATTTTATTCTTTTAAAAAACTTTCAAAATCGATAAATAATAAATTTCCAAGCATAGGTTTGACAGTTTTAAAAAGAGTAATTATATTACCGCTACAAAATTTACTTGTTGCACCGCAATTTTAATTAATATTTTTATTTACTAAAATGACCCTAAGTAAAATTACGTAATTAACCACACTTTGGTGCAAGGTTGAAATTATTTTACAGCACACTATTTCTCACAAGAGTGGGGCTTGGCAGAAGAGACCACAAATGGATCTTTAGGTTTGAGAAAATTGGATGAAAAGTAAAGAGCAGAATTAGGGTTTGTACAATAAATTTACCAGAGATGCTGCATATAAAACCGCCATTTTAGATTCTTGTGAGAAAGAAAGTTGATTTTTGAATTAAGCTAAATGAATATAATGTTTGACGTAGGGATTGATCGACCTCTCACATTGCATGTGTGTGTTGTGTCATCCCCTATGTCAAACATTATATTTGTATAGCAAAACTCTTGACTTTTTAGGGATAACAGAATTATCTTTCGAACTATTGCTCTCCAATCAAGATTTCGACCCACCAGACGAGCTGACTCGTGCTTGCTTTGGGGCAATCCAAGCACAAGCCAGATCGTTTGACCCACCAATTCAAGTTTCTACATTGTTAAACTTTTGTCAAAAGTTCTATACACCTTAAAAACAATATACACTAATTCCCCCAACAAAATAATATAAAGAAAATTCAAAATATAACCAAAAAATTCTTAACATTATGAAAAAAGTACAGTGAAATCAGCGATTAAAAAATGGAGCTCAAACAACCCCTAGATAATAACCATATGCTAGAGATCTAAACCTCTATATAATTTTACTTGCTAAAAAAACGGTCATTGTGCACGTTAAGCCTTTTTTTACTCGAGTTAGTAAGTTTGTAAGGGTATCTCAAAACTCGATACCCTTTGATCTTTAAAAACCAAGAAGGCATCGACTTAAAACTCGCTACACGGGTCAAGAAGAAAGCATAAGGAGTGAAGTCAATCATGAGCTATAAGCGCTAAGATAGGAAGAAATCGTGCATTTAATTGACTTGAATTCTTAGATAACTATTGAGTTTGAATTACTTTATATAACCTTAATTGTTGAAACATTCAACTTTGGGGAGAATCATCATATGACAAGATTGTTGACATTGTCGGTGAGACCCATTCAAATTAGATCAGAAAAAGAAAAAAGTAATTTGAGAGCAACCTATAGATTAACATCTTCGATAAGAAAAGAAGTATATATTTGGGGATGTGAATTTCACGAGTGGAAAAGGAAAGAAATGACCATTAAGGGTCGGGTTGGCATCAATTTAAAAATTTCTCGCTCTCTCCAATTTTTTCTGAGTCTAGGTAATGATTGAAAGTGATTATGCACACACACCGATCAAACATTGGATGAGTTCAATTTGTTTTGGTAGCATTATTTGGAGACTTTTTTTGAATTGATTATACAATTTTATACTCATTGGTGATTTGACAAGCTATCTAATATTGTGAATTTCTATCTCGTATTACTTGATTGTGCTAGTAGATAATCTGGTTCGTGACTAACAAGAACTTAAGTTTGGTGTGTTTGATAAGCGTATTTTAACACACATATTGGAAGCCTAAAACAAGTTAAATATTGATGAAATTAGTGAATTTCTATTCATATTCGTGTAAATATTGCCTTTGCAGGTAAAAATTCCCGACTTGAAAGAGAACAATGCAAAAGAAGAGAAAAAGACCAAAAGTGTAGAAAAACTTGAACTTGGAACTTGGGGATCGAAGTGCTAAAAGTTGAAGGACCCCGGATGCAATTTCTTGAGGGTATTATAGAAAGAAAAGTCAAAATATGGGGACGAAAATGTACGAAGTAAAAGTTGAGGAACCTATCGCACAAATACTGAAGGAATGGAAAGCAAAGGAATGCATGGGATACCTACGCATGGCTCACGCATCGAAGCCCAGCTTAGAAACAGAATGCTTCTAGGCTTACCCATGCGTGCACATGGGTATATCGGGGGAGGATTTTTTGTGGCTGCTACTTTATTTTCGAGTTTTCTTAGGGGTATTTTGGAAATCTTTTAGGCATAATTCCGAGGGTTTTAAAGGCCTAAAATCTATGAATTATGCCCTGCGTACAGTCAGTTTTTTCATAGGCCCCTCACTGTAGCAACAAGTCCCACCCCATGTATTAAAATAAAAAATGTGGTCCCCACCCCCCATATGTGTAACCCAGTAGGGGCCTATGAAGCAGGCCCCTGTACTTGTAGCATTTCTGAAAATCTATTATCCATATCGTTGAGGGCACATTAGGACAACAAGAAGGCAAAGGGTGGAAGAGAAAAATCAAGAGAGTGGAGAGATTTGGGGAGAAATAGCAAGACCAAACCATCTACTTCTTAAGAATCCAACCAAAAGACGAGTTCTACTTATAGTCTTGTATTTTATTCATTGTTTTCTCTAACTTATAATATATTTTGGATAAAGTTGTTTGTACACCAGGTGTACGTACACCTGTCTCACATGAATAGTGTGCGAGAATATTTTATTGTGTGTGGGACTCCCCCTCCATGTGAGAGGGGTGTAAAAGATTGTGAATGATTATGTATATGTAGCATGATTGATATATTTTTCTAACTCTCCTCATTTTTATCATTTCTTACATTGAGTTAAACTTATTGAGGTTGGGATAATTATGTAGCTTAACTTTGTTTGATTAATTTCAATACTTGTTCTTTAATGTTAAAATACTTATTCATGTGTATTTACCATTGTATTTAATGTTTTTTACTTATTTGGTCACTAAATGATTGTGTTGAATGATTTGTAAAAAAATTGAGCAAATACAATGCATTTTAGATCAAGTAGTAAATACTCTAAATTCCTGTAGAAAATAGAGATATACTCATAATCCTAGATAACCCATTAAATTATTTTAACAAAAAAATTAATACAATCCATTGGGTTTTAATCGACATAGAGATCTAGTAGGTTAAACCAATCGATTATGATTAATTTCATTTAAGAGAGGTAATTAAAATAGAGAAATCAAGTCTAACATATTAAATGAGAAATTTGTTAAATTGTTTGTTGTGAAATGACTCGAGGGACGATTAAGTAAAATCATGAATCCTAACAATTTTGTCATCCAAACTTTAGAATATTTTTAGATTCACTTATTTTTGTTGAATTTAAAGTTATTTTTATTATTTTTAAAATTAAATCTTATCGTGTGTTTCATTGTTAAAATTAAATCAATTACTGTGTAATTAAGTAATCATTCTTCGTGGAATCGACAATCCGAACTCTTTAGTCCGCTTCATTACTTGTATACGACTCGTGCAATTGTGACATAAACATATTATAGCGAACATTAGTGTAATGGATATCGAAAAGATTACAAATACGAGAAAAAATGAGTCAAAAGTTCAAAATATTGAGCCCCTATCGGGTAGGCGTTTTGGCCCAAAAGAGAATTCATTTTTTGACCATTTTTCTTGTCAATGGGACCTAGTGGACTCATAAAGACAGAATTGCATTTCGTCTCACTCGGAATGAAGTTTATGTGAAGGGACAATTTTGCTAGGATTAGTAAAAAATTGCAGCTACCTCTTTACTGTATAACGAGCAAAATTCTTCTAAAAAATCCACTCAAAATGGCTACCAAACACAGGCTGAGAGTCGAAAGCAATACGAAAATAAACTAAAAACGTGTACTTATTGGCAGAAATTGTGCTATTTTCATATAGAGAAAAATAATAAAAATTCAAGATTTGTAGTCTCGAACATATCTCATAATTTTGATTTGACGGCAGCGGCCTTGCTGCATTTGCAGCAATTGGAAATTCATTGCTGCAAAAGCAGCAGGACTGGCCTCAATGACCCATAAGATGTCGTTCGCAAGTGAGTCGATTAGTTGTCGTCCCTAATTTGACATCTTCTATGACGAGTGTCTGAAAAGCATTTCTTTTCTATTCTCACGTTGCACAAAACACGCTAGCATGTCCACAGATGGGGCAAAGGAGTCGTCATCATTTACATTTTATATTCCCCTTTGTTTGAAGCTTTGCTACAACTAGTCGAACAATATATTATGGTCACTTTCCTAGAATCTTATGAGAACAACATTTAGTAATTGCTAAATAATGTTTCCAAAGTACGGCAAAATCATTCTATATTATTGCGTCCACGAAAAACATTCTACACAACTCATAATTTTTTATATAACTGATGACGTAAATCTAATCCAATGATTAAGAACCAAAAATTATTAAAACATAAAGAAATCGATTGCCAAGAACGTACATAAATCCAGTTCTTTTAGCATCCAGATCTATTTTCCATCAAAAAATTCTATAGGGGTCTTCCTCCAAAACCTGCATTTCTAAACAATTCTTGCTTTACACCTTCGGAACTAATAATTAATCGATGCCCAGCTTCCTGGAGCCATAAAAAGATAATAAGGAACACATTAAGGAAGTGTAAAATATTTGACGAAAAAGTATCTCTTACAAGTACGTGAAGGACGTGTTGAAGACAAAATACCCAAAAAAAAAAAAAAAAAAGAAAGAAAGAAAGAACGGACAGACAGACAGACGGTGTCCTCTTTAATAAGGTAAACGTTTAAACCAAATGCTTAACAAATATTAGGATATTAAAGTGAATGGTCTACCTCGCAACATGTAGCTTGCAGTGAAAAATCATTGAAGCAGCTTATAACACATTGTTGAATGTCAAGTCCCATTGATTCTAGCTTTCTGATTGTCGATAACAGTAACCCTGGATTTGCTGCACAACATATCTCGATTCGGGTTTCTTGGTCTGTCTTTTCTACTTCAAACTGAAAATGGTGCGGATAATAATGAATAGTAGCTTCGTTTTTTTCTTTCGAATAGTGTATAACAAAATGAAACTTTGCATACCTTAGGGTGATTTCTCACTTGTATTTCTTTTGGCTTTAGATCTTCTAAGTCTGCCGTCTGATTCTGATTCTCATCCTTCCCATCTTCCTTCAACTTGTTGATTTTATCAAGAAGCTCTTTCATATAATCTATGGTGTCTCCAAGTATGGATGTTCTATCCATCTGCATATTATGATATAATATTTGTTAAATTAATAACTAAACAAATTATAATTTAATGATAATGTTAATTTACCTTGCTGATCTTAGGTACAATTGATCGAAGCATGGAAAGGCGATCGTTGAGTCGCTTTCTTCTCCTTCTTTCTGCCATTAGATTTTTTGAGGGTTGGCCATCGATCTTCTTACCTTTTCCCTTTCTCTCTCCACACAAACCTAGATTAGAAACAGCCATATTTGCTTGAGTTTGCGCAGTGTCAACACTACTATAGCTGCTCATCCCTTCTTCGAAACCATTGCCAAGAAACTCAAATTCTCCATTTTTGATATCTGCAGTTAGTGCAGTGTGATTATTTTCATAGAAGGACTCCAACTCCGGCGCCAAGAAAGTATCAAGAAAAGGTTGGGATCCTCCCACATGATAAGAATAACTGAATTCTTGTGGTGAAATGAGTCCCAGAAGTGAAGCGTTCGATGCTAACAAATCTGGGGTTTGATCAAATGGTGCAAAGTCCCAACCATATGGAAGGAACTCATTCATTTCAGTCGGAAAACTGGTCCAACTGTCTCTCTTTGGAGCCATTAACTCATCTAACATATTCTCTTGAGTAAACTCCATCCCTCTCTCACCTCAAAATATGCTTATTTACGAAGCCAGATTAGTTTAAGCCTCAAGGAATATAACTCCTCTCTCTATATATAATATTGCAGTATGTTTTCCAGTATAAAATGTGTAGATATAAGACCTAGAGCATAAGAAGGAATCTGCTTTTTCTTCCATATGAATATTTTAGGTTCCGTTTGGTAGGAATTTTAAAAAGACAAAAATTGCTTTCGATAATTTACTTAAAATTCTTTGTCTCGCTAGAAGAGGTTAGGTAATTTTCTCACTACAAACAGTAGAAGCAAAAATAAAAATTCTGCCAAATATGTCCTTAATAATTTTCACCGATATCATAAATGAGACAGGATTACATAATTAAGTTGCTATATCCTGTAAGGTTTGACCCACTAGTCTGTCTCAAACGAAAACGATGGAGTCGGCATCATAAACCTTGTCAGTTTGTTTTTTTGTTTTTTTTAATTAATTTGTGACCTCAATAACAGTAAACTTTTTGCTTGATTAATTTCTCTTTCTGTAACATGATGCTGCCGTTGGTCCCATTTCATCATACCTCGATACCTTAAATTCTTGCTTGGTGAGCTAGTGGATTCTTAACTTTTTTTTTCTAAGTATGAAAAAGAAAACCTATGCGAAAGTGTTGTATTATTTATCTACATCTCTGTTCTTTCTTTTGAGATTATTGGCCGCTAAATGTTTATATGCCATGGTTTTGCTCTCATTGGTCATTTGAGATCAATAAAAAGTGTTAAAAAGGGATGCATTTTTTTGTTTGATGTGACGGGGAATATGCGACTGAAAAATAAGGAAAAATTATTGATGTAATAGAAAATATTATTTTCTTGATAAATGTACGCTTAAAAATGAGTAGAAGAATGAGAATGAAAAAAAAAATAATGTTGCTCAAACAGGGGCTAAATATGAGATTTGAGAACTAAAGGCTCGTTTGAGTTTCTTAACGGATTACTAGCTTTGATAACAAATAATATCAAATAGAGACTCGGTTTCATCTCGAAAAGATCATTGGTTTTATTAAGAATAGTAACTTAATCCCTTATATATTAGTTAATAATCTCGTCATTATTCAATGTGAAAATTATCTCTTGACAAAAATTTAATATAAACATAGGTTTTGGTTATTTTTAAAAGTTTTTTGAAGAAATAAATCAGTGGTCTCTATTAAACTAGATGATGATCTCTACTAACATTATAATTAATAATTCTCCTCATATAATTTCATTCACGCACCATTGTATCTTCAACTAATAAATTGTGTAAATATGAAAATTTGCATTTTTAAACATAATTTATATCGAAATGTAACAACATTGTCACACTATTCATATTTAAATATTATAATAAAATTATAAAATTAAGAAGGTCGAAAATTCTTGTCTACCTCATTCACATGGAAAAATCGTAGAAATTTGGAAGCACGTCGAAAACATACCACTTATAATTATTTACTTAAAAAAAAATTATAATCGATCATTTCTCCTCCTTTTTCTTTTAACTTTTCTAGGTTTTGGTGTGTGTGTGTAAAAAGGGTAGGGGCGTGTACGTACTAGGTTACATATAGGGTCTGCTTAGTTTAGTCTTTAATTTTAGTTGAAGTAGGACCAGCTAATTCATATTAAATTAATCTTAAGAGGGATCAAAATTTGTGACATAGATCTTGGTGTCTAGCAAAACCTAATTCAGGAAGAACAAAGGTAGAAACCACCCTTTTGTTTCTAGTCTAATATTTCATTCTACTACCTTTTTTTTTTCTTCATTAACTTCACTAAAACTTGATATTTTGAAGCTCCCATGGCAAGATTCTCCATTGTGAGTAGGTGGATAGCTTTGAAATAGTTAGGTCGTCCTTACTTTAACTTATTTGCATAAAATGGTCGAAAGTTCAACGGAAGTTCATAAATAAATTTCTTGGATCCAATGATCATTAATAATGCAAAAGTTTGGAAAGACACATTGTCGACACTTTCTAAACTTTCATTTTAGTTCCTTAAAATTTGCAAACGCTAAACAACACAATACCCCATACTTTCTGAAAATAGTACAAAACGTTCCTATTTGAAACGTTTAGTATGGAATAGCCCATACCGTCCATTTTCTGAATTAAAAAATGTGAAATGATAAAAATATCCTCCCATTTAAATAAAATAAAAAGAAAAGAAGAAAAAAATTAATTGCAACCATAGTTCCAACTTTTTAAAAGAATTACAAATGAGTCCCAAATAAATAATTAAAAATCAAAACTAAAAAAACAAAAATCACTTTCTCTTCCTCCTTTCTCTCCCGCCATCGTCACCACTGCAGCCACGACTCAATTTAATCCAACCCTAGCAAACATAATGAGCTGGAGCTCCGTTTCCAAAATGTTACAAAATCGAAGTTTGATTTTTCAGAGAAAAAATATGTGACTCAACGAGGTTCCGTAGTGCGGAGAAGAAGAAGAAGAGATTTTGAGTTTCTTTACCGGTTCGTAGTGATTTTTCATCGTCTTCTTCGAAATCGAATTTCCCCCATGGAAGAAGGGGAACAACTATAATTCCAATCTGGGTAGTGCCCGAAGCTGAATTCTTTATTCGAAAATTGAATTTTGAAAGAATTTTCTTTTACAAAACAGCGTTTCGTTTGCTATTTTTAAACTATTTTCCTTTTTCAATTTTACAAAATGCTGAAAACGTGTTTGATTTGATATTTCTGAAAACATATTTTCGAAAATATGAATAAACTTATAACATAAAACTGAAAACACACTTTTGACGTTTTTAGTGTAAATTCTGAAAACACTAAAACATGGAAAACAAGCTTTTAAATAAAATTTTGACAACTAAAAATAAATATAAAATATAAAATTTGAAAATATAAAAAAATGAAAATCAAGAAAAATAAAATTATAATAACCTAGAAAAAATAATAAATAGTTCAAGGTTTAAATGTTTATTTACATAAAAATTCTAAAACAATATTTAAGTGAACATGGATAAAAATATTCTCAATCCACTCTATTAATTCTTATTCTTATTTTTATTTCAAATATTTTAAACTTAATTTAGTATTTATTTTTATTTTACTTTTGTAGCAAAATTCATCAGCTTTAAAATGTAATATTACATGATAATATATTAACATAAAATTACTTTATTTTTATTAAATAATCAAATTTTAATGAATAAAATATCATAAAATAATTTTTCAAAATTTTAAACCAAAAGTCTTTTTCTAGTTTTCCGTTTTCAGAAATAATTTTTCAAAATGATAAACTAGACGCATTTTTTCGAAATTTTGAAACAAATCTTCAAAATAGAAAATTGAAATGAACTCAAAACTAAAACACAAATCATACCGGCCTTTAGGTTTTGAGAAGCTGCAGCCATTTTATTGAAAATCTTCTCTCTCTCTAATATTACAAATCCCCCGGATTCATTATGTAGATGACTTATGGATAGTTTATAATTTACACTGCCGTAAATGATTTTTGTCTCAGTTTGCTTGGATTATACAAAATATATGAGATTTAAGTCAAATGAGGGTTTCATTACAATGAAAAACTTAATTCATTCACTTATATGCAATTGGCTTTGTTTGCTGTTTTCGTTACATCCATATTAGCTTCAATCTTAACTGTTTTCGCAAACGGGGATTTGGATTTGAGAGTTTTGACTATCAATTTAAGGTTGGATTAAAGTGAGTGGTGGTGGTTGCGGCGGCGTTGGCGTTGGCGATGGTGGGAGAGAAAGGAGGAAGAGAAACAGGAACAAAAAGAGGAAGTGGTTCTTGTTTTTTCTTTTTTTTTTTAGTTTTGATTTTTAATTATTTATTTGGGACTTATTTGTAGTTTTTTTTGAAAAAATTGGGACTATGGTTGCAATTATTTTTTTATTTTTTGTTTTACTTAAATGAAAGGGTATACTTGTCATTTTATAATTTTTTATTGAGAAAATAAAAGGTAGGGGATATTCTACACTAGACATTTCAAACAAGAACATTTTGTGCTATTTCGAAAAGGTAGGGATTTTCAACAGTTTGGCCAATAGATAGGGGATATTGTGTTGTTTAGCCATTTACAAAAGTGACCATCTTTCCAAGAAACTTCTAAAAACATTTAGGAGCGATTTCCCCCCAATTTCCGTGAATCTACAAATTCATGGCAGAGAAATCCTCCTTTGGTTCATCCACAATAGAGGTGGTGATGTCGATGGCAATGGCAATGGATTGGACAGTGAAGTGGTGGTGGTGTAGGCGGTGAGATGTGGTGGGGTAAGGGGTGGGGGAGATAATTAGTTTGTAGGTTTTAACATTTTATAAACAAACTTCAATAATACAATCTAAATCATTAGATTATTTAATAATTAAGGACCACGATTATTTGTCAAATATTATTGTCAAAGGTTGAACAACCCCTTTACCTATATTTTTACCTCAAATGAAAATATTGTTAACCTTCGAATCTGGTTGAGACCTAGTGCAACAACACATTCTACCTATATGCCTCTCAAATGTATGTTACCTACGTATGTGGAATGCACCTGTTAGATGGGAAATATCGAAATCTCTCTAAATACAAAAGGTGAAAGAAGTCACGATCATACGTACTCTAACGCTTAATTCAGTCGAGTACAATAAAAAGTACATGGAGTAATGTAGTAGTGATACTAAAAGGAGAGGAAATTAGGGAGACTAATTTGTATCATAGAGAGAATTATTAAAATTGCAACTATCTCTACCCGACTACGGTATGCGAGTATTTATAGTCAAGGAAGTAGACTTAAGTTTTTTTCGAATGCTTGATATATGTTCTCATTCAAACGGCTCACTAATCAAGTTCTATAACATCAACATGTTGTATTCTTGGCATCAATTGGTCTGTGATTCTGCACACCATCATTAGTTAAAAAGGTGGGATTTGACTCTCAGCTGCTACTGCAAAAGGTGTCACATCAATCACTTTTACGTGAATCCATGGTGTTAAAACACACCTTACATGAGGT